TCTTATTGATTTGTAGGAGATTTTTTGTTATGTTTTGAATATTAGTCCTTTCCTATCTCTTTTGTCTGCATGTGCACGTATTAAAATCTGCAACAGTCCATTGTTTTTCTTTGTTCATTTTGTGTAGGGTGACTTTTACTGAACAGAATTAAAATTTTTCATATAGTAAAAGAAAAGAAAGAAAAATGAGTGGCATAAAGAAAATGTATCAACTCATAGATCCCGCCTCCTCTAAAGAACACAGCACTAGAGCCACTGGAATCCGACTAAAGGAGAAGCCAACTGTGTGAATCTGGACGCGCCAAGCAGGGTAAGCAGTCCCTACCACATGGGAAAAGCCCTAAAGCTGGGAGTCAGGACACCTGATCCCAAGAACGAGGTAAATCGTCTCTCATTCAAGAGAGGAGGTGGTACCGTGCATACTTGTCACCTTCCTGAGGTGTCAGGATGCCAATGAGAGAACGCAGGCGATAGGGCTTCAGCAGCAATACAACCTCATCAGAACTGTTAGCGTAATCCTAATGGGTGCGGTCAGTAGAAGGCAAAGTCTCTGGACAGCCAGTCTTATAACTCCACCATTAGGCCAGGAGACCACAGCTGCAATGCAGTCATGGGGCATCAGTTATGTTTCTTTACTTATTTTGATTCACAGATAGACTGCCTGAATTAGGGTACATGGACTACCTCAGAAGAAAGCTACTGGGACTCTGGTGTGGGGTAAAAGAGGGATCCAGACTCCAAAGTCACGTGGTCCTGTGGCTCTAAGGCAACATGTTTCCGGAGGCCAGCAGCTCCCGCAGCACCTGGGAATCTGGTAGAAATCTAAACTCCAGGCCCACCCACACCTACTGAATCCTAGTCTGATGAGGGTGCAGGGATCTGTGTTTCTCTAAGCTCTCCCAGGATTCTAATGCTCACCCCTACTCGGGAACCACTGTCTAAGGAAAACAGGCCATGCACAGGTAAGCAGCATAGGAATCCTTCAAGAAACACACAGCCCAGAAGGTAACCACAGATGTTTGCCCTCAGAAACTAGTCCTAGGTGTCAAGCCCACGACAAGTGACAGCTGACTCAGCAAAGAATGTGCTTGCCTGGGCGTGGGTCTATGGCTTGAATCCAAGGCCTAGGCCACAGCCTGTCAGCAATCAGGGGGCTCACTGGCTGACTCGTGGATAAACTTCCTGACTCCAGACTCCCAGCTAGAGAGGACGTGTGTGGCAGCAACGGGAACACATTAAGATGTTTCTCACTGGAACTTCCCTGGTGGTCTAGTGGCTAAGACTCTGCGCTCCCAATGCATGGGGGTCTAAGTTCAATCGCTAGTTAAGGAACTAGATCCTACATGCCACAGCTAAATCTCAGTGCGACCAAATAAACATTTTTAAAAAATATACATTCTCTTACAAAGGTTTGCAAATGGCTGTCAGGAATCAGAATGGGAATCCAGAGTCTCAGCAGCAGAGCCAGATGCAGGGCACCCCGTGAGCAAGTGCTGTACCCACTGCCACTAAAATCTCGGAGGAGAAGGTCCAGTTCAGCACACACACACCTTGCTTCCCTGAAGAAAGAACCCAAGGTGACCAGAAGCCACCAGTATGGCCACGGTCCCATCCGGAGTTGTGTGTGACTGGGACAACCAATCCACGGGCAGGGCCTGCTTTCCAAGTCACCCATATTTCCCCGTCATCTACTGACTCAATGCCACTTTGCACTTTTCCTTTTCTTCCCAGGAGTGACACAGGATAGACTCTGGTCAGATTATCAGTCCTCAGTGACACCTGGCCTGGATACCTCCTCTTTCCCTCAGAGGCTCCTGTCCCGTTCCCCAACTGAAGGACACTAGCCCTCAGCCAAAGTTCACATTCCTTGGTTCTCCTCAAGGATAAATGTCCTGTCTGCAAGTTGCTTACCCTAAGGAAGAAGAGGGACGAGTGAACAGGCAACTACAATAAAGTGCTGTGAATGCCAGAGGTTTGGGGTGGGAGTGGGACCAGTCACAAAGGCAGGGAGACATCCTGCCCAGAGGGGCGTGAATCCAATGGAGCGGGGTAAGCTTCACCTGGGGGTCCACCAGGAAGGTATTAGCCTCTACTTGTTGACATGTGGTCTCCCTTGGCAGGGCCTGAGATGTAGGCAGGGCCTTCATCCTCTCTGCCTAGTAATTCAGGAATGTTTGCTGACATGGGCGCACCAGATTACCATGGCTTAGGACGCTAGCCCTCAGCACAGCCAACGCCCCGCACTACCTCTGTACTCCCCAGATAACCTCCAGTTTCCTCCGGCAGCTTCGAATGCCTGCCTGCATACATTTACAGAATTGTGCTAGAAAAAGAATGATGCATAGTCCCTGTAGCCCATCCTCAAGGAGGGGAGACAGGAGCTTAAGTCACTAATAATGCACAGCTTTAAAAGTATGCTAGAGGGTAGAGAGAGCTGAGAGGGGTGTCTTAGAGGGAGACCCATCACAGAGGGCAATGCCTTCAGTGGCCCTCAGCTCAGAAGCACAAGGTTCCCAGTGCACAGACTTGGTCTTGCTTAATTCATGTGAAACAGACTCACAGACACCAATAACTAAACAATCATAAGGCCAAGTTAATAATTTACCTTTTCAGTAGCTAATCATGTCTGCCCAGGACATGCCCTGAAACGCATAGTTCAGGCACTCATTTAACAGGGATTTCATACACACCAAGTACCCATATTTAGTAAACTGTGAGCACCTGGTTGAGGGAAACAATGCAGCCAAATGAGGCGGAGACCCAGAAATGGGAGACAGAATTGTGCAATGAGCTTGGCGTCAAGCTGGAGTTCAAACACTGTGCACTATTTACCAGACAGGTGACTTGAGGAAACGTAAATCTTCCTGAGTCTCTTTCCTCACCTGTAAAATGGGCATAACAACACTCCCTCATGTGAATGTTTAAGAATTCAATGAGGTTACACATGCATAACTAGGGTTACACATCCTAGTTTTATCCATGGTTATATTCATCTGGAGAGGCTGTGTGGTATAATGGTTAAGAGAACAGACCCTGGGATCAGACAGATGTGATTCTAGCTCTACCACTTACCAATATATCATCTAGGGCAAGCTGCTTAATTTTTTCCAGTAAGCTTCAGTTTGCTCATTTGTAAAATGGGAATAAAAATTCCTCACAGAAACAAAGAAGTAAGTGTATTCAAAGGACTTAGAAAATTCTAGGTTATAAAAACCATTCAACAAATGGTATGTTTGAGATTTTAAAAAATTGTCTATGATTAGATATGACTGACACATGTACCAAAAATTAAAATTAGTACAAACTTCAATGAAATTAATTAAATATGGGGCCATCAAACATGATCCAAAAAAACTGACCACTTTGTATTTAGTTATTAAAAAAACTTTTTGAGGAAGCAGGCCTCTAGCCTCAGACTAGTTTCATACTCATAAACTAGTTTCTAAAATAATGTCATTTGTGTGCAGTCATGCAAAAACTCAAAGTTTCAATACTGCTAAGTCATGCCTCAGCGTGAACCAGAGAAGCATGTCTGGATCTATCTTTCCAGTTTGTGTGACCGGAACCCTGGTATCCATAAAGCATTATGCATTTGATTTAACAATTATGTACCAAAGTATACACCATGTGATTGTAATAAAAGCCCCTGCAGCAAGGGACAGATTATTTCTCTCAATTCTGGATCATCCCTTTTATTTATTTTCTCCCTTTTATTTACTCTCCCCACTGACCCTGTTGGGTTTTAAATGATTTATAACGCTTATAAAACCTTGCAAGAGTAATCTTGAACTTTGATTTTAAAAATCAACATTTTTCAATCCTAACCTTGCAAATTTGAATGGTGTAAATCAAAGGTCAGCCCCTTATCCAACTCACCCTGTCCTCAGCAACACTGCTACTTCATTTCATCCAGATCCGGGAAACCACATAGCTGACCAGGACACTGCTCCAACCGCTCAGTTATTTGGCTCTTACTCTCTTATAATCAAGTATGTTTTCACATTTCAAGGTGGACTCTGCATTTTTACAGTCGCAACCGAAATTTTACACAAAATAAAAGTAAATAATGAGAGTTTCTGTAATCACCAAAACTAAAATTTAAGAAGCTCCTGGTAAACTGTAATCATTTGCAAGTGAATACACTGGAACTGGAACCTTATTAGTACACCCACTTTGGTCTCTGCTTTGTCCGGCAAGAACACTGGAAACACTGGGGGGGGATGATTCCACGAATGGTAAGGTGATGTGAGGCTTATTTTGAACAAAGTGATGGTGGAGCACGAGAACATGGAGACATTCCCCCCGCCAAGATCACTTCCAGGAGATCCAGGTGTTAAGAATTAACTTCGTGTTTTCCTCTTTAGAAAACATGTGGACAAGAGACACCAGTCAACCATGGCCTGCAGACCAGGAGTCGGGGAAGGGGCGAGGCGGACGGTTGAATCACGATCGCCGCGACTACGCACACCTGAGCTTCGGAGGATAAAAGGCGGCACGTGGGATGCAAGACCCAGACCCTCCAAGCTTCGCCCTCTGCCCAGGCCTAGGGAATTGTGGAAAAGCAACTTCTTTCTCAAGATTGGAGGACGAGGGTCCCCGGAAAAGAAGAGACAGTGAGAAGCCCCCGAGAGTTCCCGCACCCGTCTCGGGAACACCTGAGGGAACGCGCCCTCAGGAGCCCGGACACAGCCAGCGGGGGAGGGGGTAACAACCGCCATCTTCCCCGGCACCCAAACCGACAGAGCGCAGTATAGCGGCGGATCTCCGCCGCCCAGACCCGCCCACTCTCGCGAGACCGCGAAGGCCTCTGGGAAAAGAGGGGGAGGGGAGAACGAGAGAGGGAAGCCGGGACGCGGGTCTGGGGGCGGGTGGAGGCGGCGAGTGGAGCCTCAGGAAGCAGAAAGGGCGGGGAAAGACGCGACAGACGCGGCATGCAGGCCAATGACGAGCGAGCTCGGGCGGACCGCCAGCCAATGGCTGTGCGGCTGGGCGCGGGGGGCGGGCGCTGGGGTCGAGGGTAGCTTGAGCGCGGCGGCGGCGTTGTTCAGTCAGAGCGAGAACATTCCAGAGGTGAGTCCGGTGGAGAGGCGGTAGCCCCGCGCCCCCTCCCCCGTCTTCCCCGCCCCCTCGACCCCCGCGGGCCGCTGGCTGGCGGGGAAGGCGCCCCGACGCCTGCAGCTCACTGCGCCGTCTCTCCGTGCCAGGTCGCCAGGCCCCGGGCGCTGAAGGGTGTGGACCCCGGACGTCGCTGGGACAGCCCCTCCCCGCTGCTCGGCGGCGCCTGGCCCGGCCGCTGCTCGCTGCGCTGCCTCCGCCGCCTCTCCTCGGACTCGGGTTCGCGCGCCTCACTTCATCCCAGTCCCGGGCGAGCAGCGTTGGGTTTATGTCTTTATTTGACGAAAACGGTGAGTCGGCGAGCGGGCGGGCTCGGGCCGGCAGGGAGATGGCGGCCACACAAGATGGCGGCGCGCCGCGTGACCCGCGCGCGCGTGTGAGTGTGTTTGTGAGCGCGCGCGCGCGCGCGCGTGTGTGTGTGGCGCAGTTCGGGCGGGCGGCGGGGCCGGGCTCCGCGTCCTCTTCTCGTCGCACCCCCCCTTCTCCCCCGCCTTTCCCCCGCCCCCACCGCGGCCTCCCGGGAGCGCGCTGCGCGGGCCCGCCGCCGCCCGGGGCTGACTCAGGCCTAATTGCTGCATTTATGAGTCATCGCCGCGGCGGGGCGGGGCGGGGCCGGCGCCCCTCCGCCGGTTTCTGTTCCTCCGGCGGAGCGGCAACCCTGAGTCCGCGGAGGGAGGCCCGGGCTGCGCACATGGCGGGGCTGCCGTGGGAGCTGGCGACGTCGCGCCGGCGCCGCGCCCGCCTCGCGGGTGCCTCCGGGTCAGCCCTGACAGCTCGGGGCGGGTTCGAAGGTGGCCAGGGTATTTGCGTGGAGAAGGGGACCACAGTCCCGCGCGCCCGCCCGGCGCGTTCATGCTCCATGGGCGTAGTTAGGGAAGTGTGGCTCTGAAGTAAGCGCTCGCCACCGAAGGCTTCGACTTCGAAGAAAAACCACAGCCAGCCGTCCTGAAGTGATGTTGATGTGTCTGAGAAGTTTCTGGGTACCACAGTGTCGGTTGGGTTGGTGGGGTAGGTCGGGGTTGGTTTTTCGGTTAAAATACGGCCTACCACGGAAGCAAGCCGTCGACGTGATGACTGGTCTGATGAAAAGCTTATGCAGCGTAATTTGTCTTGTTTGAGTCTAGCATCAACCAAAGTCACATCTTTGTCAGAATGAAGGCTTTTTGTTGCTACCGGTGTCCCGTGAGACTGGTAGCTGTTCTTTGTAAATAAACTCATGTTTTTAACGTAGAAGTAGGCGTAATTAAACAGAAAGGACAGGGAGGAATTTCGTTGCAGGAATTGTTAAACGTGGGGGTTTGTTTGTTCTCTTTCAGAGCTGTTGCGCAGCCATTGGTACCTGTATTGGGGAAACATAGCATACAAGCAAGAAGCTTACAGCCTCAGTGGCGAAAAATTTTTCATGTCAGAGACCGAGAACTCTTGCAGTCGTTTATGTCATCCCTTCTTCTCCAGACAGAGGATACCAAAAAATTGCAATCAAAGATCTCTTCATCTTATTGATAAAGCCACTAATAAGCCAAAATGTCTGTCAACGTCAACCGCAGCGTGTCAGACCAGTTCTATCGCTACAAGATGCCCCGTCTGATTGCCAAGGTAATACTGATCTTCATTTTAGTAGCAAGTCCTAAGTTTTTTTCATGAATTATTAAAGGTTGCTTCTCCCAATGTGGACAATGCAAAATTTTTACTTCCTTTAGGTTGAGGGCAAAGGAAATGGAATCAAGACAGTTATAGTCAACATGGTTGACGTAGCGAAAGCGCTTAATCGGCCTCCAACGTGTAAGTAAGGCCTCTTTAATCTGAGAAGGCATTTTATTGACATAATTGTGATGCTCTCTGGTCTGCAAATCTTGCATGAATTGATTAGCTTTTGAGTTAAGTGGAAACTTGGCTTTAAAACTGATGGATAGCATTAGCCGGTATTAGTATATAAGATTACCAGGGCAACACTTTTTTAATTCTGTCCATTTAAAGAGTGATAATTCTATAAATCAGGGTGAGTAGCCAGAGAGTCCTAGAGTAGGAAATGGCAACCAACTGTAGTATTCTTGACTGGGAAATCCCATGGACCAGAGGACCCTTGTAGGCTACAGTCCATGGGGTCAAAAAAAGTCGGACATGACTTGAGTGACTCAGCACTCATCCAAAGATTAATTATAATAAATTAGATTTTTCCCCCCCCAAATAGATCCCACCAAATATTTTGGTTGTGAGCTGGGAGCACAGACCCAGTTTGATGTTAAGAATGACCGTTACATTGTCAATGGATCTCATGAGGCGAATAAGCTGCAAGACATGTTGGATGGATTCATTAAAAAATTTGTTCTCTGTCCTGAGTGTGAGAATCCTGAAACAGATCTGGTGAGTGCCTTTGCGGTTCTTGTCAATAGGAGAAAAACTGTATTTACTTCTGTGATGTCACCAAATCATGTTCCCAGGAAGGCAGAGAAGACTTACATAAATTGCAAAACCTCAAATTTTATAGGTGTTTCCATACTGACCTTATTTAAAAAAAAAAAATCTTTTGATGTTAAACCTGGTGTTCAGGTGGTTTTTGATGGTTAGTTTCACACTTTGAATTTTCATCATGTTAATCGGTGACATATTTTTCCTTTTCTGACAGCATGTCAATCCAAAGAAGCAAACAATAGGTAATTCTTGTAAAGCCTGTGGCTATCGAGGCATGCTTGACACACATCATAAACTCTGCACATTCATTCTCAAAAACCCACCTGGTAAGTGCTTGTGATGAACTTCTAAAACCTTAAGATTTGATTTTGATTTGATTCCAACTGATTGTTGGAAACAGTGGAAGTGTTTTTACTGTTATAAAAAAATAAGGTTAACCCTTGAACACCTACGAAGGTGAAAGTTTGCTTATAACAATAAGGTCAGCCCTGTGTACACAAGGATCAACCAATCAACGGTGAATGGTGTAGTACTGTAGTATGTAATTATTGGGGGGAAGACTCCATGTAAATGGATCTGTGTGGTTTCAACTTATGTTCAAAGGTCAACTGTTTGATAAGTGTGCTGTTGTATGTACTATTAAAGATAAAGTACAGGCTACCATGAAACTCAACCACATCCTCAATTTTTAAGATATCTTGGGATGTATGAAATATTGGACAAATTATCATGGGGTCATAGTAAAAGATCTACTTCTGGAATTGTTCAGTTCTAAGTTGAGTTGGACTCTTTGCAACTCCACAGACTGCTTCTGGAATACTGATTTGTACATGAGGGCCTTGGCTCACTAGGACAAAGTGGCTTTAGAGCATGCAAGCAACACTCTGTGGCAGATAATCAAAATTGTCTGACACAATTTGAGCTTGCTATAGCAAGAAAGTCTAACCTATTCCGGTGTTCTCTCTGTGAGACTAGCCGTTATATAGACTTAAACACTGTTCTAGTTTTTGGCCAAAGCATAGTTGCAAATAACCTTTGTTTATAAGTTTATGAGGAGTGGAGAGAGAGGGTCCGTGAGTGCCAACTTTTAGCTTTAAGTACTTGATCCACTGAGGTCACCTTGTGGTCTTAATTTTATTCAGTAACTAAGTGGTGTCCAACTCTTAATTTTACTAAAATAGCTAATACCACTGATATTTACTGGCTTTTCTTCTTTGACTGACTTACCTATGAAACACAGTGGATGAATTTGATTTATGAACCCTTTTAGAATTACAGGTAGTGTTTTCTGAGGGGAGGGTTTTAAATGTTAATGGTGGGCAATAAGGTAATATAACTCACAGTACTAAACTTTCTTTCCTCTTTATCCGTGTAGAGAATAGTGACAGTAGTACAGGAAAAAAAGAAAAGGAAAAGAAAAATAGAAAGGGCAAAGACAAGGAAAATGGCTCCGTTTCCAGCAGTGAGACACCACCACCACCACCACCAAATGAAATCAGTCCTCCTCCACATGCTGTGGTGAGTGCAAGGTTTGATGGGCGTGGTGGGCACTAAAATTGTATAAAATGTGACTTTTGGTTGAGGTGGGCAGAAACAAACTGCTTTTCTTTGAACAGTGTACCAGTTCATTGGGTTCCAGGTGCTTACTGGTTGATTAAATAGAAATTTAGTGAGAAAATGATAATTACACTAGAAATCTGGATTATTTTTTTAATTCAGCTTTCAAGGTCTCTCTTTGGCCAAGCATTTTTGTTGTTAAAAACAGGAAGAAGAGGAGGATGACGACTGGGGAGAGGATACAACAGAGGAAGCTCAAAGGCGCAGAATGGATGAGATCAGTGACCATGCAAAAGTTCTAACCCTCAGTGACGATTTGGAAAGGACTGTTGAAGAGCGGGTCAATATCCTGTTTGATTTTGTTAAGGTAAAAACATTTTGTTGATCAGTAAGTCAGCTTCTACCCAGCCTTGAGCTTTTGTTAGATATTTGTTACCTTAAGCTGTTTGTTCAAAAATCTTTTGAGGGTTGTTCCAGGCACTGTTTTTGGCAGGTGTGTATTACTTAGAAGTCCTAGGATCTTCAGTTAGGTAAGGGAATGGTTCATCAGAGCAGGGACTGTGGTGCGGTGCTGTGCTGTGCTTAGTCGCTCAGTCGTGTGCAACTCTTTGTGACCCCATGGTCTCTACCTTCCACACACTGTCCGTGGAATTCTCCAGCCCTGAGTGCGTAACCGTTTTCTTCTCCAGGGGATCTTCCCAACCCAGGGATCGAACCCATGTCCTCCTGCATTGCAGACAGACTCTCTTACCATCTGAGCTACCAGGGAAGCCCCAGGGACAGTGCAAAATGTGCCTCCATCTCACTGAATTGCTTCTTTTTTCTTTTTCACTTGTTTTCTTTTATTTGCAGAAAAAGAAAGAAGAAGGTATTATTGACTCATCTGACAAAGAGATTGTAGCTGAAGCAGAAAGACTGGATGTAAAAGCCATGGGCCCTCTTGTTTTGACTGAAGTTCTTTTTAATGAGAAGATCAGAGAACAAATTAAGAAATACAGGCGCCATTTCTTACGAGTAAGCAAATAGCTCTATGTTCATAGTGAGATTTGCAGATGTGTGACCTTGGAAACACCATTTTAACCTCCCGTTTATTCTGTCATCCTGAAAAAATGGAGATAACTGACCTACCTTAACAAGCATGAGAGAATCTGGAAAATACACGTGGTTCCATATATGTGAAGTAAATTAGAAATCTTTTAAGTATTGACTTTTTACTGTTATAGGGCTGTCTCATCTAAGAAAGCTTGTTAACGCCAAGAATATCTATTTGCAGTTTTGTCACAACAACAAAAAAGCTCAGCGGTACCTTCTTCATGGTTTGGAGTGTGTGGTAGCAATGCATCAAGCTCAGCTCATTTCCAAGATCCCACATATCTTGAAGGAGATGTATGATGCAGACCTTTTGGAGGAAGAGGTCATCATTAGCTGGTCGGAAAAGGTGGGGATATGTTGATGAGCTCTGATTAAAGAGTAGAAGGGTTGGGGTTTTTTTGGAAAAAGTTTCCTAACACCTAGTCTCTACTTGCTTGACTGGTATAATCTGTCTGTACGGTGATTCCCACCATGGTAGCTTCTAGTAATGACTGAAGAAAATCTTAACACTCTGCTGAATACATTTAATCTGTTGAGAGTTTTTGAGATTAGCATGTGGTTCAGTCCCCTCAAAGGATGGGTATAGGCAATTATGTATAACTCTCAAGTTACTGTTAAGTTGTTGGAACTAAAAATTTTACTAAATGTTTTTTAGACCTCTAAGAAATATGTCTCAAAAGAACTTGCCAAAGAGATTCGTGTCAAAGCAGAACCTTTTATAAAATGGTTAAAGGAAGCAGAGGAAGAATCTTCTGGTGGTGAAGATGATGATGAAGATGAGAATATTGAGGTAAACACTGGGGAAATTGTTAAATACAGTGTTAGTGGTAAGTGTTATGCTGATATTGGATAGTTGCAAATTAAATGTAACACAGTACAGCCTCTTATTTAGGAAAGGGATCACATTAATAGAAAGGGTGCTAGAAATCTTCCCTATCCCCAGACATCATGATTTCAATAAATACTGTGTGGGTTCTCAAAGGGAGGGTTTTGTTTCACCTCAGTCTAGGGGTCTATATATGTAGTGTTAACTTAGTTTTTATAGAAATTCAAAATTTTTCTTGAACAAATGGCTGTTTCTAGGTAGTTTTTCTCCTTTGTTGACCACTGACTTACTATTGTTTTTATGAGCAGTTTTACTGGAATAAAAATTTACCAAAAAGGAAAAATCTTCTGTTTTACCAGGTGGTGTATTCAAAGACTGCCAGTGTACCGAAAGTTGAAGCTGTAAAGTCTGACAACAAAGATGATGACATTGATATTGATGCCATTTAAAGGGGTGGGTGCAGCCCAGCTTAACAGTGTAATGCTGAGAATCTTTTTGCATCATCGGCCAGAAGTGCAACATGAGTGTGCAAAAGCTAAAATGGCTTAACATTATGCTACACTTTTCTACTAAAAATGTATTGCTGTGAGTGGTCTGTATTTAAACCCAACAAGACATCTAGGGAGTCCATACACATATCAGTGAGCAGGTGTAGTTTGCTTATTTATAGCATGTTTCTTTTTGAAAAATTAGTGGTGGACACATTTGGATCACATTTATACAGTTATAAAAAATAAAGATTTGATTTTGGTCATTCTTCAGATTTTTGACTCTGAATGACTTAAGTAAGCTGAAATAATTGGCTCCTTAAAAATGTTGCACCATCATTTAACCTGATAGGATTATTGGAGCCTGTTAGGTATTAGGTGCCGAGACTTTAAAAGGTCCTTCAGCAAAATGTGAACATAAACTTATAAATACCTTACTCGGTCATTAGGAAATGCATAGCGCTTTAAGTCTTCTCTCTAGTCCCTGAAATTGGCATCTGATAATGTACATCCTTCCCATGCCAAGGTGGACAGATAATCAAATGACAGTGCAACACCTTTTTCTTACTAAGAAGTTAAAATGACCTGAGTGTCCTATAAATTTAAGAGCAGGTTTTGAAACTTGAATTGTGTTTGTTTTTTTTTAAAGTCTATACTTGCCCCAAATTGTAGTCTTTGAAGTCGTATGCATTGCACGTTGGATGAGCCAGGGGAGTTATTACATTAACATACAAGCATTTTATTATGTGTGTGTAGCTATTGCTTTATACTGAGAGAAAATGGAAATTTGGGGGAGTGATTAAATACTAATAAGCTCTATGATTTTATTTGGGGGAAGCAGGAAAAGATGCAATTAATCTCAAGGAAAAACTGAGCGTAACTTCTCAGCATTTACTCTTGATTCAAATTACAGTTTGAGAATATTTAGACATACTGTATCTCTTGTTCAGTGTGGATTTTTCCCTGGATACTATGGTTCTTTTATTTTTGCATTTGGATACATAACTTATGCTTTCTCGGTTTTTGTTGCTATCTTGCCAAAATAAGTATTAACTGTGTCTCAAACTCCCTGCCACAGCCCCCCCCCCCCCCCCGAAAATGTGTTATTTAAAAAAGTAAAAGCATGTTTCTAAGTCATAGCCTATATTTTGGTGTAAGACTTGGGGTGTTTATTTCATGCTGAATATAGTGAGATACCCAAGAAGACTGGTGATGGCAACTAGGGCCTGACCCAGCCCATCCTGGGCTTTAGATTTGGAAATAACATCATTGCAAATTGCTTGCCTAATTTGCTGATATAAACTCACTCGATAGGGCTTATGAGTACATCTTAGAAGTCTTGAAGGTACAAATATACACAGAAAATACAGTGTGGGAATCAAATGCATGGAGTGAATTTTGTTTGGAACACTGGTTTATATCATTCATCTCTTTGTGATCATTACAGGATGTTAACAAATGTATGTAAGTTTTTCACATTGAAATTATACAATCTGGTATAATAAAACCTTGTTAGCTTGATATTTTAAGGAAAAACACTGGCATTCTTACTGGGGAGGTACAAAGTGGTCTCTAGCTGCCTTTTTTTTTTTTTTTTTTTTTTTTTTTATAATTTTGTTGAGATTGAAGGAGAATCATTTGTCTATGTGGAGGGAATGTGCTTTGTCACACCAAAGAGAAGAGGCTTTTGTAAATTCACATCATACCTAGGTGTTAAATTTCTTGCTATTTTCTGAAATTTTGGGGAGTACCAAGTTGCATTCAGGATACCCATTATCAAGCTAATGAGGTTTTATTATAGAGGGTTTTTTTCCCTTTTTTTCTCCCATCGCGCCCCCCCCCCCCCCCAAAAAAAAAAAAACTGAAGGAAAATGTTCAGGGCTTCTAAAACACTAAAGAGAAAATTTTGGCTTAGACCAGTGTTCAGTCTAGTGCCAAACTTAAAATGGGATTCAAATCCACATAGTAAGGGATTTATTCATAGCAGCTATCCTGATAGAGTGATCTTTCACTTTGCTCTATTCAACTCTTAAAATTTCCTGTTTCAAACAGCTGTTATTTGATTAAAACAATGTTAAAATTATTTTTGTCTGCTTTAATATTAACCTGAATTTTGTTTATAAAGTTGGAGTGTTGAAAACTCCCTTTTGGTAGCTGTTGCTTCAAATTTGTGTTGGATGTTTCTGTGTCCTTGTGTCCCTACTCACAAAACACCGTGTTGCTGATTACAGTGGCTGTCCTTAGATCTTGTGTTCCTAGTCTGTATCAAATTGATTAGAAACAAAAGATCTGCCTTTATCTGATTTCTTGGTTGATTAAGTGACTTTAGGTGGGTCAATTATGTAGTTAAATAACTGACTCTAGCATTTCTCTTTAGTTAAGAAAGGAATGTTTCTAAAATTCTCTGAGGTTAATGAACTTCCTGTGTGGGGTCCTCAAGGTTTAAGAGAGAAGTTCTCTGAAATCCAGTGTGTCCTGTGTTCAGCCGTGTTGGGGTTGCTTTCCACTGTTTACTCTAATGCACTAATAAGCCTTTGACCTGGACATAACTTTAAAAACAAAAAGCTGGCCTTCCCAAGGCTGGAGAAAAACAAGAGGGTACTGGTGTGGATGAGCCTTCTGCATTTTGTGTGTGAGCTCAGTCTGTGGTATCTGAGATGTATTTACCCCACGGTCACTCAACTAGTCTGGCTCCTGTGTCTTGTAGTGCTTAGATGACATGTTTAAAACCCAAATAAGATTCTGCTGACATCTACTTAAAATTTACTTTTGATGAAACCAAACTGTTAAGGGTTTAAATTTTTGTTACCATGCAAACCTTATTCCAGGAACTCTGTTAGTATTCACTGGCCAGTATTCCAAGAGTAGCCCCCAAATGCCAGCTTGTCCAGTTTCTGCCTTGTTAGTTTCAGTGGTTGTACAAATTTCAGCTAAACCTAACTATTCCAAAGCTTCAGAGTGCTCTCTATCTGGAACAATATAGCACTTGAATATCTCTGCCTCTCAACTGTGTGGTTTATGTTGTGTTTCCTAAATTGAGTCATGCTTACATCTTTAACCCCAGTAATCTGTATAGACCATTCCATGAATGACACTCCTTAAGACTTGCTGAAATTGTTGCGGCTGACTAGTGCAGTCTCCAGAATTTGTCCTTTTGCGCCCTTTGTTCATAGGAGGTTGGGAGCTCAAGTTCAGGGTTCCATATTCTAGCCCTAGCCCAATAAAAAGGTCTTCAGAAATCAGACTGCCAGTTCTTTGTGGTTCAGTTGCTATGTTATGTCCAGCTCTGCAACACCATGGGCTGTAGCACGCCAGGCTTCCCTGTGCTTCACTATCCCAGGTTTGCTCAAATTCACGTCCATTGAAATTGGTGATGGCATCCAGCCGGCTCATTCTCTGCCGCCCTCTTTTACCCTCAGTCATTCCCACCATCAGGGATGGCCAGAATACTGTAGCTTCAGTATCCATGCTTCCAGTGCCAACCTCACGCACCCTACCTGTACTGGCCTGCACTTGACACTGGCTCCAACTCTGTCCCCACGTTGAGATTTGCCTAGTGGCTGCCTGTGGTCTTCACTGCTGCGCGTGGTCTCCCTCTAGTGGTGCGTGGGCTCTGGGCGCATTGGCAGCTTGCAGGCTCTGGGCTAGTGCACAGGCTTAGTTCCTCCTTGCCATGTGGCATCTTCTCAGACCAAGGATTGAACCCAAGTCCCCAACACTGGCGGGTGGGTTCTTCACCACTCAGCCACCAGGACCCCTGTGCCCACTTCCCACAGCACAGGGGTGGAACTCAAGGAGGGAGGAGATGATAGGGATTTTGAGGAATGTGTTTAAGAGGTAGCATTTCAAAGAGTGACTTGCCTGGTAGTAAGTAGGGGAGCACTTGTGAACAGTAGAAGCTCCCCTTAGCTGAACACAGTGCATGGTGGCGGTGGCAAGGCTGGAGGTGAGGGCGAGATCTGGAAGCCGAGCCCTGGCTGGCTGAATGTCTGCAAGCTGCAGGAATGGATTTACACTTGTATCCTGCTGCCAGGAGTGCTAAGCTGCTGTGGGAGTGGAGATATAGATCGCATGGTTCACAACACCAGCAACTGCCTCAAGGGTAGACTGGTCAGACGAGGATGCACGTTGGCTTAGGAAGGCTGGGGTCCCCAAGCAACCTGGCTTTTCTAAGGGCATAGTGTCAAGTTGGAAGGATTAACAACTCCAAACTCCTGTTCCACCTGCAGAAGAATCTGAAAGTGCAAGAGTAATGGAATTTTCCCTTGAGACAAAGATCTGTTTGGGGTAAGGGCAGCACCCAGGAGGGGGTTCCGGGAGGTTTCAGAGCCTGAGTGAACATGATTCTGTTAGGACCTTCAGGTCAGGAGCAGCCATCAAGTGGTTGCAGGGTTGGATTCCTCACAGAGCAAAGGAAAGGAGTTTCAGATGTGATCAGCAATCACACGTAGTCAAGTTCATGTGATGACAACCGAAAGTCGTGGAGTGGGGGAGAAGTTTCCCAAGGGTTTATAACAGTTGCATTGCACACGCCTGGCCTTGCACTGAGCCAAGGAGACCAGCAGGTCCAGCGTTGTGGACACAGATGGTATCAACTCGGTATCTGGGCAAGAAAGAACTTTTCCTCCAGGGTGGTGCTCACCTGTCTGCTCTCAAGGTTTCTCTTGACTCAACTATCCATGAGTTTTCTGGCCCTGCAGGGCTGCACAAAAACACTTGATGTTTGCCTTTTTCATGGCAGGCAAGCTTCTGTTGAAGCTGCCTAAAGCCTAGTTTTCCAGACTTTCCAGTTCAGATCTGATAGGCTTCACTGGTCTTCAGCATCTGTCAGGTTGACTTCACTTCCAGTACTATGAGCTTCACTCGCAGCTCCAGTCAAATGTACCTGGAAACGAAGGGGTGGGGCCGTGTGAATTTTAAACACGGCTGCCAAAGGCTGCCTCACGATGGGAATTTGTGATTGGAGCCAGAGAAACCCCAGTTCTTGGAGATACCTAGAACAGGTTCCTTTCCACTAGAACCTAATTTCAATGTAGAGGCCATCTACTCACCAGCCATCTCATCCCACCAGTTTAACAGCAAGTGGACTCTGCCCTTCCGAGAGTGACCAGCGCTTTCGTTTTGCTGTGTGGGAGGCGGGAGGGGACAGGACATGGGGCCTACTGAGATCTTGCAGTCTAATGGAGCACGATTTGCCTTCGGGAAGCTACTGGAGGTCACTTGAGAGAGGTGGCCTTGCACAGTTGTGGTTAGTATCTGAATACTGACAGAAACCTGTCTGCAGGTTTCCTGAGAGGATGCAGAGTGGAGGAGTCCCTGGGTTTAGTAACATCCTCTGGGCCATTTGGGAGACCCAAATGATAGAGCCAGGTGGAGACTTAGGAGTAACATTTGGTGTGAAAGAAAAATGAGACTGGTGGCCAGGCTATAGGTAACAACACAAGGGACATCAGGGAGCTAAAGATGTGGAGAAAGTCAAGAAGATGATGTCTTAAAAAACTCATTTTAAGAACACAAAAATTACGGAGTTGTATTGAAAAGTACAGTAGCTAAAATGAGAAATTCACTAGAGGTATTTAAGGCCGCATTTGGGCACACACAAGAGGAAAGTTTAAACATAGGCCAATGGAAATAACAAAAAAAGTTTTATGTTAAAATAGAACCTAAGTGACCTGTGAAACACAATGAAGAGTAACATATGCATTGTGGGAGTCTCAGAAGGGGAAGAGAGAGAGCTAAAAGGGCAAGAAAATTTGAAGAAATAATGGCTGAGAAGGTCCCTAAGTAAATGAATGAGGCTCCACAAACATCCAAGAGACCTAAGTTCCAAGTAAGATAAACAGCCACCAGAGACAAGTCAAATTCTGGAAAGGTACAGAGATCTTGAAGGCATTGAGAGAGAAGCAACGCATACAGGGCCCCAGTTACCTAACAGATTCTGCATCAGGAGTCTTGGAGACCAGGAGGCAGTGAGTTGATCTATTTTTAAAATGCTAAAAGAAAGAAGCAGCCTGACAACCAAGAATACAGTACTGTCAAAACTGTTCAAAAAGGAGGGAGGAATTGAGACATTCCTGGATAAACAAAAGCTGAGGGCCTTGCAAGAAATGTTCAAGGGATTCCTGCAGGGTAAAACTAAAGGACACTAGACAAAGCCGACCAAAAAAAAAAAAAATCCCAATAAAGGTAAATATATTGAACATTACTAAGTATTGTTAACTTGTACTAATTTTCTATGTGGTTTAAGAAAATGATGCATTAAAAACAATTATTAATCTAAAAGCTAGTACTATAACTGGTTTGTGTTATGTTTGAGGGCACTACACTGTGTAAAGATGTTACTTTGTGACATCAACAGGTATGGTTGGGGTAGAGGGTAGGGTAAGGCTATAAAGGGGAAGAGATTGTGTTAGTGAAAAGTGTGTAAATTCAAATTAGAGTGTTACAACTTAAGGGTGTTATATGTAGTGCCCATGAGAACCACAAAAGAAAATAGCTCTAGATACATGGCATTGAGGACTTCCCTAGCGTCCAGTGGTTAAGACTGTGCTTCCAGTGTAGGGGTCACAGGTTTGATACCTGGTTGGTGATCTAAGATCTCACATGCTATAAAGTGCAGCCAAAAAAATAAACTGCAAAAGAAATTTAAGCAGTTAATTGGGAAAAAAAAAATTTTTTTTTTTTTCAAATGCAAAAGACAGTAGTGACGCAGGCAGGAAGTGAAGGACAGGAAGCTATGAGACATACAGGAAGAAAACAAGTAGCAGAATGACAGAATTAAGTCCCTACTTACCAGTAATACTTTAAATGAATTAAGCTGCCCGATCAAACGACAGAGATTGGCAGAATGAATAAAAACACGTGACCCAACAACAAGCATCTACAAAAGACACACTTGAGATTCAAACACAGAAAGATCGAAAGAGTAGAAAAAGATACTCCATGAAAATAATAGAAATAAGGCGTGGCTATACTAATGTCAGACAAAATTGAGTTTAAGTCAAAAAAGTTTATGAGACGAAGACTGTGTGTGTTAAGAGTTTCAATACAAGATGAACAATTACACACCTAATGACAGACCAGCAAAAAGTATGAAGGAAAAACTGACAGAATTGAAGGGAGAACTAGATGACCTATAGT